TTTTTTTTCTTTTTACAAATCATAGTCAGCACTTAATTAACGAAATGTAAGTAAATTACATCCAAATAACTAGCTTACATCTAGATCAAGGGTTTTGCTCTTTTAGAGCCTGCATCAATAGACATAAACGTGTATGAAAATTAATATATTAAACTTCGTTTAAATTGCAAATAAGGAAAAGAAGGAAAGGGCAAATGAATGTTTTAATGGACCGATAAACATGTATAAATATTTACATTTATTGCTTACCGTAACTAGGCGCCGATGAGACACTGTAAGGGTTCATTCGGTTTCCTTGTAAGCTGCCCGCTTTTTGTGGACCACCATTGTAAGATTGTTGGTAATCACCAAAACTTTGGGGAGCGGCTGGTGCAGGAGCAGCTGCACCATTCCAACTATTCACCGCTGGCGCTGCGGCGGGTGCAGCTGCTGGTGGTGGTACGGGTGCGGCAGCAGGTGGAGCTGCGTAACCACTTTGAGGCCATGCGGCTGGTGCTGGATAGGCCGCAGGAGCTCCCCATCCGGGAGCTGCGCCGTTTTGTGGTGGAGCTGCGTAGGCTCCGTAGCCTGCAACGGGTGCAGCTGGAGGTGGCTGTTGATATGCAGCCGGTGGTGCAGCCTGGGGATAACCACCCCATCCGTTGTATGCCGGCGGGCCCATCTGTGGCGGATACCCGTAAGCTGGCTGCTGGGCATACGGGGCAGCAGGTTGTTGATATCCATTTGCCGGAGGCGCAGCACCCGCGGGTACACCTTGTTGTGCCTGTGTTGCACGTTTCTTAGCCAACTCTTGTTTGTAGACAGATTTTTTTACATCTACTAGAACATATTTAATTGTGTGGTTTTTATGCACTAAAAGAAAGAACAGATACAAAATTTATTATAATTTGAGCAATGTTAAATTAAGCATACAGTTCTTTAATAAGCTATTTTATTTAGGTATAATGATTAAAAAAAACTTACAGACTGCTTTGTCCACTGCATCATAGTCGTCAAACTCTACAAAGGCGAAACCGCGTTTGCGCCCGGTTGTTTTGTCTGTTAAAATCTTGACTCCTACAACATTGCCAAATTGTGAGAAATGTTCTGTCAACGTCTGCTCATCATGATTTTCTTTTAAACCACCAACAAAAATTTTCTTCACAGTTGTGCTAGCTTCTGGTTTACCAAGTTCAGGTTTTGGCAACGCACGTTTTGAATCTACTTGCCTGTTGAACGTTAAGAAAAATGTAGTAAGAATGAATAAATATACATATTTTATTTAGATACGACGGAAGTATACAAATTTCCGAGCTCGATTTTCACAATGTGTGCAAT